GTAACGCCGACGCTATTATTTCCCGTACCGCCGCCCATGGGTTGGAGTTTGCGGTTGTCTATGAGGACCACAACTTCGAGTTGGCCAACATAACCGACCACATCGGACAGGGCCGGAGGGACATGCAATATGTCCACGACAAGTATGTTACACTTTTTTGTTATAAAATTTTGGTAGCTATATTTAAAATATAATTATATTATACTTTTGACTATTCTTGGTCCACATATGGTAGATAAAATAAAATTAAAAGATTCTTAATAACAATAAATGAAGTGCCATATGCGAGCCCATAAATTCATTTGACACATTCATAGTATTATTTATGTTTAGCTGAATGTCTGGATTTAAATTAATAAATCATGCCAAGCATATTCTGTACACTTTGAAAATTATTAAATAATTAATTATTTTAAAGTGTTCCCAAAAGTTATGTAATACGTCATTTTTCAAATTAATTTTTGATTTTTATAATTAATTCGTTTATTTGTTAATTTTTCTGGATGCATTTATTATTATTTATTGCTTACGATAAATATGCTTATTAATAGTATATATGTTTTAAATTAATAGATATTCTTACGGGTTTATTAATACATATATATTATTTAAGTTTGTTTAATCACAAAAAAATAAAATCTAAATTCAGTACATTGATTACAAAATATATTTGTAAAATGAATTTGTAATAAGTAAACCTTAAAAAGACTTTGTTTATATTTTCAAGTTTTCACTATAAACTACAATATAATCATTGACTTACAGGTACTTCAGTCAACCAAATCACGCCAAACTGAACGGCAAACCCCTGATCATGGACTTCGGCCCCCAGACCCTCCAGGGGGACGAATGGAACCAAATATTCTCGCCATTCAACCCGAAACCGGAATTCATAATCCTATGGTACCAGACAAAGACAACTGCCGGTGCCTCGCAGGGAGACTTCGCGTGGCCGGCCCAGGACTTTATCGGGGGTCTCAACGGTTGGTACGGCAAACAAACCGGAGTGAAAGTAGGCTGTGCCTACTCCGGGTTCAACTCATTCTACAAGGAGGGAGGTTGGGGTGACTTCCCCTGGAGTATCCCGGTCAGTGTGTCCAACTTCCAACAGACCCTGGACCTGGGACTAGCCCACACAGACACCCTACAGGTCGCCACGTGGAACGACTACGGGGAGGGCACTCAGATTGAACCAACACTCGAGTTTGAGTACCAGTTCCTGGAGGTGTTGCAAAAGAAAATGGGTGTCAAGTATACGGTGGCCGACTTGAAAAAGGTGACGGATACTTATTTCCATCGCGTGATGTATGCAGATAATGCCACCATGAGTGCCCTGCTTGAAAAGCAACATTTTGACCTGGTTCACAAATACGATTAATTAAATGATTTATGTCTAAGAATGTGATTAAATTATATGAATATTTAAAATTAAAATTATTATTCAAGTATACTAGATGTTTTTTAATAATGAGGTGTCTTTTAGTATATATATGGATTCATTTGTGCTTGTGGAAGTGTTTACTATATTCAGGCTGTAAGCAAGGTTTTGTTATTCTTATATTATACTACGTTATTCATTTAACATAATTTTGGTTTGGTCGATGAACTTACACAATTTGTTTAAATAATCTATACCTTTTATTAAGCACATACGTCATCATTAATTATAAATTTAAAACTTATATTGAGAAAATTTTATAATTTATTATAAAATCAATCACAACATTTGAAGATTGAAATAAATATTTAAAAAATATACAAAATGTGTATATTTTGTCTTACATAATGTTCATTGTTTGTCCAATTTATTATATTTTACTAAACTCATGTGCATGTAATATTGATAAATGGTATAGTACACTTTTATTATACATAGGTGCAAATTGATAATTATTTAACGCGGATACAAATGTGCAAATGTTTTATGATTAGACAAGGTAAACTATTTCTAAATTAAATTAATATTTATGTTATTATATTAATATACTTACAACTCTATTTAATAAAATAAATGCAAATAAAATATATTTAAAAATATTAATCTGGACCAGGATTACAATTTTTAATATGAATTAAAAATATCACACCTTTAATTTTACAATTAACAATTTATAATTGCATAGTTTTTTAATAATGACTAATTACTATTTTAAAAATTATCTATCAAAAGAAAAGTTAATTTATGCTTTAATCAATCGCATTACAGTACATGCAGCTGGTTCATTATAAACTTCTTAAACAATTGCCTATTGTATTGTTACCAAGGGAACTGTATCAATAATTTGCTACAAAACAAAAAGAACAAGTACATTAAGTGACACATATACGTACAGTAGATAAATCACTCGACACATTTAAAATAACTTAAAAAATATTTATGTGCTAATCATTGATTTATAATCGCAGTACAGTACACGCAGTGGCACATAAAGATAACTAATCCAGACCCAGTTTTAAAATCTGTATATAAACCCCTCGCAAACATCATCTCGCACTACTATTTGTGTTAACACTTCACAATGAATATCATACTAACGCTATGCCTGTTTAGCCTGAGTATAGGCGCCATATGTGCCGAGAAAAAGGTGTACATCCATATGATGCCCTGGTTTGAGACCAAAGCATCGGGAGGTGGCAAATGGGGTATCCACTGGACGATGGCTAACCAGAACCCGGACATCGTGTCGGGCGGTAAGCGACAGATCGCCTCCCATTACCACCCGCTGATCGACGCGTACGCTTCGGGCGACACCCGTGTCATCGACTGGCAGTTGGGACTCATGAAGCTGTCGGGTGTGACCGGTATCTTGGTCGACTGGCCCGGCACCTCAGGTAAATTGGACTACGGGGCTAATGCCCGTAACGCCGACGCTATTATTTCCCGTACCGCCGCCCATGGGTTGGAGTTTGCGGTTGTC